CAAAGAGATCATGGAGAGGGAGGCACTTGGGAAAGTGACTCCATTAAGTGATTCAGGAACTCCTAGGCTGATCCCCAAGCTGCACATGCAGGGCCTTATCAGGACACTGAAGACATCGAGAACTGAACTCATAGGCCACTGTGCAGGTCCTTGACTGACCACTGGGAGGTGTACCTGCAGGACAGGCCCAAGCAGCACTGCAAAAATTGTTTGAAAAATATTACAAACACATCCCACAGAGGGCCGTCAGGAAGTTGTGGCCTGACCCAACAGGGTCATTTGCCTACTAAAACAAAATATAAGCACTCTCCATGGGATTTAAACAAAACCCGGACTGCCAAACATAACAATCAAAGTATCCAGAATATGATCCAAAATTACTTACTATATGAAAAATTTCAATTCTCATGGCAAAAGATAATCAACAGATACCAATGCCAAGATAGGACAGATTCTGAAATTATATAATGCAGACATTAAATCAGCGTATACAAATATTCTAACAAGCGATCACACTCTCAAAACAAATGGAAAATACAAAGTCTCAGCAAAAAGCAGAAGATACAAAGAACCAAAAGGAAATTTTAGAACTGAAAAATATAGTAACCAAAATAATAAAGGACTGCACTGCATGGGCTTGAAAACAGACTGGAGATGACAGAAGAAAAAGTAAACTTGACCAAAGGCAAATAGAAATTGTCCAATCTGAACAATAAAAGGAAAAAAGATCGATTAGAAAATGAACAGAATAAAAAAAAGAACAGAGCCTCAGGAACTTTTGGGACAATAACAAAAGATATAAAGTTATCAGAATCCCATAAGAAAAGGAGAAAGAGTGAAGTGTTTTTTAAAACTATTTAAAGAAATAGCTGAAAATGTGCTAAGTATGGCAAAAGGAAAAAAACCTACAGATTCAAATAGAACCCTAAAGAGGATAAAATCAAAGAAATCCACATACTCAAACACACTATAATCTGCTGAAAAAGATGACAAAAAAAAAAAAAAAAAAAAAAATCTTCAAAGCAGCCAGAGAAAAATGATGTATTCTCTTTGGAAAACAATTTAAATGACTGCAAATTTCTCATTAGAAACCACAGAGGCCAGAGGAAGTGGCATAACATTTTTAAAGTGCTTAAATAAAAGAACTGTCAACCCAGAATTCTGTATGCAGTAAAAATATCTGTCAGCAATGAAGGTGAAATAAAGACATTCTCAGAGGAAGAAAAACTCAGAGAATTTGTTGCCGGCAGCTCTGCTTTAAAAGAATTGCTTAAAGGAAGTTCTTCAGACAGAAAGGAAATGATACCAGGAGACTTAGACTCGGAACATCAAGAATGATGGAAGAGAAACCAAAATAGTAAATATCTAGGTGAATATAATAGGCTAGTCTTCTCCTCTAGAATTCTTGAAAATATATTTGAAAATTTAAAGAAAAATTTAAAGCAAAAATACGCTATCTTTTGGAGTTTTTAACATAGAGAAATATACAGAGTGATAGGGTTTCTAATTCTACTTGAAGTGGTACAATATGGATTCAAAGCTGTCTGTGAAAAGACTGACTTCTGGTTTCAGGATTTTTCATCCTGATCTATCCACTATAAAGCCCCCTCATCAATTTTTTGTCTAATGGATTTAGCAGCCATTGATGATCTATTTTTTAATTAAGGGTTACAAAATAGAGACACTCTAATTCTCTCATTCTTCTATTAGAGCTGGTATTCTTCAACAAAGGAGAACTTACCTAAGTTGGGTATTTAATAATGCAGAGTATAATTCATTTAGGAAAAGGGGAATAAATGCTAGATTCTTTCCTTTTATTTACCAGTTCTCAAAACAGTGAGTTAGAACCACTATTTTAAAATGGTACATAGGCCAGGGGAAAATGCTGGCTTAATCTCTGTTGATTTAATTTGGAATGAATACAATTTACTCACTTAAACAATTAAAGACCAATATCCAAACATTTAAATCATACAGGGTCTTTAATTAAGGCAGAGAGTATGTAGGCTGACACCATCATTTAAAATGTACATACTATAATGTGTCACACTTGCTTTTTACTGCCATTGGATTACTCTCTAGTCTGTATTATGTATGTATGTTATGAGTGTGCATATATGTATATATATGTACATATATATACACACACATACATATACATATACATGCATATAAATATATATAAAATTCTCCCCTTAGATTGTAAGATCCCCATGGACAGTAGAAAGCAGAGATCAAGCTGATATATACTAAATGAAACATAAAAGAAATACGTCCTTGAACTTCCTAAGCCAAAGGCAAAATCCTAGTCATTATGGTTCTCCCTTTAATTACTCAGTTTTAAGTCACTATATATTTTTAAAATCAACTACTCCATGCCAGCCACTACACTAACCACTTTTCAGAGATTATCTCATCTAATTCTCACAACGACCCCAGGAAGCAGGCTCTCAGTGCTGCTTTTAGAGGCAAGGAAACGACCGTGCAAAGAGGTCAGGTAGCATGCCCATCTCATGCTTAATTAGGGGAAACACAAATCTGAAGCCAGACGCTCCGGCTACACAGTCACTTTGCTCAGTCAGGTCCCGACCACAGTAGTGATATGTAGCCTCCCTGTGAAGGTGGGTTTCAGCTACTAACCATTCGACAATCCAGCAGCTCTGCTATATTTCTGCCATGAGAGACCCAGAAGATGAAATAAGGCAACAGGAGAAGGCACACGGAAGAGTTATAAACTCCCTGTGTCCTGCTGGGAGAGTACGGCAATGATTGTTTCTTGAAATGACATAAATAACACAGGAGACGGCCACCCTCTTCTCCAGGGACTTAAAACAGAACCAACAGGATAAGGGAAAATCAATTTATCAAAACAATCGCTGAAGTCATTAAAACTTATGTTTTTTAAAAAATTAATAACATGAGAAAATGGTCATATTAAAGAGGACATCTTAATTAAGCCCATCAGAGAGGAGAGAGGGGGAGAGAGAGAGAGAGAGAGAGAGAGAGCG